TAATAAAGTAACAATTAAAATAACACATCATTGTCACAATCATATTAGTAAGTATTAAAAATATTGATAATATCAAGTATTGGTGACTGTGAGAGGAACTGGGTATTCCTAGACTCTTTTTCTTCACCATCTTAAAGCAGTCCCTTTAGCATATCTTGCAGTGCTCATTTGGTGGAGGTATATATTCTTTTAGCCTTCTTTTGTCTGGGAAACTCCTTATTTTGCCTTCCATTTCAATTGAGAGTCTTGCTGGGTACAACAGTCTTGGTTGTAGGCCTTTGCTTTTCATGACTGGGAATATTTCTTGCCATTTCCTTCTGGCTCGTAGTGTTTCTGTTGAGAAGTCACCTGCTAGCTGTATCAGGGCTCCCTTATATGTTTCTACCTTGCTGCCTTTAGGATTCTCTCTTTGTCTTTAATATTTCTGATTTTAATTATGATGTGTCTTGGAGTGGGCTTCATTGGGTTCCTGTTGAATGGGACCCTCTCTGCTTTCTGGACTTGTGTGACTTTTTCTCTCCTCAAATTAGGGAAGTTTTCCATCATTACTTTTTCAAACAGGTTCTCTATGCCTTGCTCCTCTTATTCTCCTTCTGGTATCCCTATTATATGGATATTATTATGTTTCAGGTTGTCCTGCATTTTCCTAAATGCCTCTTCATTCTTTTTGAGTCTTTTTTCATTTCCTTGCTCTTTCTGGGAGCTTTTTTCTACCTTATCCTCTAGCTCTCTGATTCGATCTTCTGCTTCATCTTGCCTGCTTTTGATTCCTTCTACTCTGTTCTTCACTTCAGAAATTGTATTCTTCATTTCCTCTTGTCTCTTATTGATAATTTCTATGTCCTTTTTCATGCTGATATAGTTTGCAGTAAGTTCCTCGTAGTTTCCCTGCAGTTTTTTGTAATTCTCTCTGAGCTCACTGAGCTTCCTTAGAACCATTGTTTTGAACTCAGTATGATAGTTTACTTGCCTTTATTTCATTTAGTTCTCTTTCTGGGGATTCCTCCTTTCCCTTTGAGTGGGGGGTGTTTCTTTGTCTTCCCATTATTTGTGAGACTCTTCTTTTTTTGCTTCTGCTTCTTAAATTGATCTGTCTTGATTTCCTGACTTTGTGGTGTGAACTTCTATGGTAGAAGACTGCTGTTTTTTCTTTTTGGATCTGCCTGTGATGATGTCAGATGTTGACCCTGTCTGACCTTAGGCAGTCTGTTTGAGACTTCCAGGAATCTACTGTTTGTGGCTGTCTCCTTCAGTTGTTATTCTAGTCACTCTGTGCTCAGCAGTGTGGCTTAGGCACCACGGAGTGGGGCAGAGTCTCTTCTCGGGGCAGGGTTGTTGGGTCCTCTTACACTGCCGTCACTCAGGGGAGTGGTGTGCCTGAGCAAGATGGCTGCTGCCGTATGGGGGATGAGTCAGCACCAGCATCCTGCCAGCTACTCTCCCGTTTCTCTCCCCAAAGCCTCTGTCTCCAGTCTCCCCTCAAGTGTCTCTAGACCACTCTGTGCTCCCTTTAGCCAGAGATATACTATCTGTGGCTGCCACTCTGCACTTAGCAGCTAGGCTTAGGCACCGCGGGGCGGGGTGGAATCCCACCTGTAGGTGGGGCTCTTGGGTCCTCTCACGCTGTTGCCGCTCAGGGGAGTGGTCTGCCTGAGCAAGATGGCTGCCACCATATGAGGAATGAGTCTGCATCCGGATCCCACCAGCTATTCTCTCAGTTCTCTCCCCAAAGCCTCCTTCCCCAGTCTCTCCTCAGGCGTCTCTAGCCCACTCTGCCCCCACTTTCACCAGAGACCAGGGTAAGTAGCTGCAAAGAAAAATTTATGCGTTGGACCTTTAAACAGCTCTTTGTGTCTCCAGCTGCCTGTCTCTGGGTTGCTACCCTGCTGCTTTTCACAGCTGGCTATTATCTGTGTACTTTTGGGGCTCTAGTGCTGTAGGCTGGAGATCCCTGCTTATGGTTTAGACTCCGCTCTACTCAGGGGGATCCAACTGGCCATTTCAATATCCTTCTGGTACTGCCACCCATGGGTACCCTGCCCGCCCTCTCGAGTCTCTACCACACTCCTTACCAGTTAGGTTGGGCTAAAGCTGATTCTCCTGTCTGTCTGTGGTCATAAGGCTCCTCTCACTATTGTTCAGTTGCTTGTTCCAGGTGATTTCTCCACAATTTAGTTATAATTCCAGATTGGTCCTGGGAGGAGGTCAGTGTGACTTCCATTCACTCCTCTGCCATCTTGATTTTCCTCCTCTTCTTTTCTGACCTCCTTCTGCATTCTTTCAAACTGCACGGCCAAGACCCCACATTGCTCCTACATGGGCAAGAGGCTTCTCCTTCTCCAGCCTCATGGTCAAGTGCCCTGCACAGCTGCTACATCCTGCTTTTCTGTTTCTTTCTAAGCCTCACGGTCAAGAGAGCCCCTCTCCATTCCCAAACAGCATGGTTAAGCCTCAATGTGCCTTTTTAAATTTTTTTTTATTAATTGATTTTTAGAGAGAGAGGAAGTGAGGGAAACATCAATTTGTTGTTCCACTTATCCATACATTTGTTGGTTGCTTCTTGTATGTTCCCGGACCAAGTATGGAACCCTTCTGTCTAGAGGACACTGACCAACTGAGCTATCCAGGCAGGACCCCCACTGTTCTTTTGAAGTATTCATTTTTGTGGCAGGAAGACAGAGGCCAAAAGTGGTTGGATGTATCAACATTGTCACGGGGTGGGGGTTGGGGTAGAGAAGGCTGAGAAAGCAACACGTCACTACTTACCACTTCTGAGCGTGCCCCCTAGCTTCCCAGGCAGGTCACGCAGGACAAGAATATCTCAAAGTGTGCAAAAACAAACAGGGCTGGCCCAGACCAGCCTTCTCATAAAGTCAAGCTGAAGAAAACTTTATCTTCCCTTGGGTCTCATTTTCTTGCCAACTCTCTCCTCCTTATCAAAACTGGGACACAAATATACTGAAATATACAGGGGGGAAATGCCCCATATAGCTGTATTTTTGCTGATTGGTTAACAATCCTTTAGTGTGACTTTGTGTTAAGTCATTTCGCCATTTGTTTCTAAGGGTGGTAAGAGACAGCTTTAGCCTATTGGAAGGGCTTGAAAAACAGGTAGCAAATATTCTGGGGGGAAAGAAAGACAAATATCTTGGTCCCTGCAGGGGTCAATCAAAAAGTAAACTGGCAGCATGAACGTTCCTGGCATTTTAGAGAATAAATTCTTTTTATCATAAAATTGCATAGCTCCTTACCTAATAATTGTCTATGTACAGACAAAATACAGAAAGACCAAAAGTTTTATTAACTTTATCAACAACACTTGCATTCAAAAAATAGAACATACTGTATGTTCTGTTTTAGAGACATCCTATATATTTCGTCTACAGGCAATTCTTAAGTGAACGCTTGGCACCAGGCGCCTATAGCCTAGGAAAGGCTTGTGTTGGTGGAAAGAATACAAATTTAGATTCAGTGTTCTAGTTCTGCTAGTTCCGTTTCTTCCATTTATTAACTGTGTGACTTGGAATACTACACTAACTAACCAGAACTTTCTGGGGTTCTTATTTCCCAAGTGAGAGGGGTAAGAGTGTTTTGTTTTGTGCTTTGGATTTTTGCCTGTTTTGTTTGGATGGTGGGGCAGGGATTTGATTACTGGAAACTTGAATGAACTGAAAGGACCGTTTCTGCAAAATGTTCAGACAATACTTGCCATTACCATGCGTGCTTGGTAGAATGAACAGGAAAGGAAGTGTCTGGGAATGGAATCTTATGGTCACACACCTACCCCTCCCGTCAGCTTTTTCCCCCTGGTTGTCTGCATTGTCCAGCTGGTGCAGGCTTCCCCTCTGGGCGCTGTCGCAAGTCTTCACTTACGCTGTGTGTAAATAGGCCTCTACCACTTTACCTCCTATTCCTTCAGGAGCAGTCCTTAAAAGTTGCCATCATTTGAATGACAGACACATAATTATAGATGCCCAACTAAACCCTCCACATTTAAATTATTACAGACATACAAGGCTCAATTTATTTTTGAAGATGTTGGGAGACTGTATCTTTGGGCAGTGTAACACATTTCTACTTTTCACCATCAGCAATTCTCACTAGCAGGATTTTTGGTTTTTTACCTTCATCAAAGCTTTCAAATGTTCCAATCACAGCTGACCCTTGAGCAACATGGGTTTGAACTGCACAGGTCCACTTACTCGCAGATTTTTCAATAAATATACAATTGGCCCTCCATATCCTCAGATTCCTCTCATCTGCTGATTCAACCAGCTGCAGATTGAAACAGTATTTTCAATCCGCAGTTGGGAATTTGTGAATATGGATTCACATGTGATGTAAGGGACCTGAGTGGCCACAGATTCCGGTATCCGTGAGGGGTTCTAGAACCATTTCCCTACACATTCTGAGGAAAGACTGTAGTCGAGTTTTAAGGAGAGTCAAAAATTATACCTAGATTTTTCAAGTGCACAGGGGTCAGCACCCCAAACCCCACATTGTTCAAGGTGCATCTGTAATTAGAATGCCAACAAATAGCAGATCTGTGAATTAATAGATCCCAGCAAACTTCTGCAAATGTCTCTCATACTATTTAAGAAGCAGCCCCTTTTGGCTGGGTAGGCAATAAGGATTAAGAGGTGAGGTCAGCCTGTCTCTTTCCAAGGTTAAGGTGAGCCTAGCCGAAGGGCTTATTTCCCTTTCTTTGGGGAAACACAGATTAGCTGAGAACCCGGTCCTCATTCCTTAGCCAGTCCTTTCCAAAACAGAATAGACTTGGACTTGGTCTCAGGTCCCAGGACCATGCTCTATGACTGCGCCCCTGTAGCCTCGCCAGTTCCACTGTGATAAGGTCACCTTTGAGGTCTGCTGTATTATTTGTATGGAAATAGAATAGGTGCCACTTGAGAGCCCTCGGGTCCCACAGCCAAGGCCTCTGCCCCAATCCCCTCCCTTCAAATGTGCAGTCACTGCATTAGCCTCTCCTTCTGTCCTCCCAGGAGCAGCACCCAGGTGGGCTTCCTCGGACCACCGGCCCCATGCAGTCCTCCGTGCCCCCAGGCTCAGGCGGCATGGTCTCGGGTGCCAGTCCTGCGGGTCCAGGTTTCCTGGGCAGCCAGCCCCCGGCGGCCATCATGAAGCAGATGCTCCTTGACCAGCGGGCCCAGTTGATGGAGCAGCAGAAGCAACAGTTCCTGCGGGAGCAAAGGCAGCAGCAGCAGCAACAGCAGCAGCAACAGCAGCAGCAGCAGCAGCAGCAGCAGCAGATTCTGGCCGAGCAGGTAACACGCACCCACGGCCTGATTCATTCATGCACCTTCCCGTGTCCGTGAGGGACTTGCAGTCTGTGTCCTTTCTCAAGATGTTCACAGTCTAGCCTTTCCTGGGATCACAAAAGAACCTGCAGAATTTAGACCTTTCAATTAGTTAGCCTTTTTCTTAGAATGAATTAGTTTGTCCTTAAAAAACAGACTTCAGCCATCAATTTGAAGGCCCATTTGCCAGAGACATATCTTGCGTTCAAGCCTGACTCCTTTTCTTTGGGTTTCTGGTACAGGGGTCAGCATAATCAGCACAGGTGGTGGTCGCGGGGGAGGGGAAGGCAGGGCGCACGTCCTTCTTAAACTCTAATATTTCTAGCAGGAAGAAAAAAGAAAAATAATTCATAGAACTTTGTCTTTTGAAAGAAAGTGTCGGGAGGAGGGGTTAAGGAGAATTCTACAGACTCGCTCATGAACAATGGAACAGGGACAATGGCAGAACAATAGGGCCCACGGAGCCACCTAGAAAGCTGAACTTGAGGTCACAGAAAGGGGGCAAAATTAAGGAAATTCCCAACAGCTCGGGAAATCTTGAAGTTAAAGGAAGGCCGAACACAAAGCCTTACCTCAGGCACCTTCATCCACCCTCAGCGTGTCGTTCCTCCCACTTTGCTCCAGTGTGATTCTTTTGGGGGGTGTTTTGTTCTGTTTTGGTTTTGACATGCCCATGCCTGATTCCATATTACCCTAGGCAAGGCCTGAGGGCTTCCACAAGAGACCTTTAAATGGCCCCTGTGGGGTCTATCCAGGGCATCTCATGCTTTTATTATAGGAGATGTCAGGTTATCATCTAAGACTCAAGGCCCCACAGAGCTCTGCCCCACAGTTACCCTTCTAGAATGTTCTGAGTAGGGTCAGAATTTTGGAAACGTATCAAGCATCCTCTGCCACCTACTGTGTGGGACACAGACATGTTGAGATCCCTACTCACCAAGAGCTGCAGTTCAAAGTAACACCAGTCATCCCCTAAATAGAAAAATTACACAGTACACTTATGTTCCACTTTTTTGCTTTTGTTCCTGAACAGCTGTGTAATTATCTCCCTTTTCACCAAGGTCAGTCAGCACCTGGCAGCTCTTGTACAAACAAACCTCTATCCCTCTCACCCTGCATGAGGCGCGTGACAAGGAGCCATGCTCATGTCTCTCAGGCAGTGATAAATGGAGCTGCCCGGGGAAGCTGGGCTTTGTAAATCCTTTCCTCAGCCAGTCCCAGGACGTTTCAGGGGTGCCCGATACTGTGAGTGATGGCTTTTGAGATGTGCGCTGTGACCCAAGACAGAGCGGAGCCAGGGTCAGCAGGCAGACCTCAGCGGGGCCAGCCCAGGGCTGCGCCCACTCGGCGAGGTGGGCCAAGCCTGGGAACGAGGAGGAGGCAGAAGGCTAGGAGAAGAGCCACCACAGGGCGGCACCCACAGAGAGAGCAGGGGATCCCTCACCTGGGACACAGAGAGGCACAAGGCTCCTTAGAAAAGACAAGGCAATGGGACGTTAAAAAAAAGAAAAAAATGGGTATAATTCCTTGGCAGCTGTGTGCCCCAAAAGATCATGGGGGACCAAGGAGAGAACAATGGACCTAAAGCCAGAATGTGCCCAGTCGTTGGCGCGTGGTACGGATTCGGAAAACCCCCAACCTCTCTCCTCATCTGCCTTCCTCATAGAGCTCTTTGAAGGATCACAGGGGATAATGTGTGTAAAAGTCTTTGAAAACGGCACACATGTCAATTGGCACCTGTCACATGATCCTGATGTCACCGAAGAGCTGCAGGCACACGAGCCAGCCATCCCGTGGGACTAGCCCACAGGTGAAACTGAGAAAAAAACTCCAGTCAGTGTAGCATCTTAGCTGCACCTGGAGACAGCGCTTCCCCACGCAGGCCGTCTAAGGGTCTGCACGGGGCGGGCTGTCCACTTTTCGCTTTGGTTTTGAAACCAAAACCAAGATGCTTTGTTGGTCTTTGCAGTAACAGAGTTGTCCCTAACACTTTCAATTTTGTAAACAGCGTGTTGTAGACACCTGGTTTTCCTGAAAGAACAAGTGAAGGAAAACAGGAGGATGTGGGGTCTTGCTTATCTTGGGGAATTTTAAAATAATTCTCGGGTGGACTTTGAAATCAGGACAGAGCAGGCTGAAAGCTGGGGGTGACGTAACATCTAATGCCTTCTCAAAAAGTGAGGGACATGTTGCCATTCCTGTATTCCTGAAAGTTCCACAGAACCTAGAGTTTTAGAGCTGAAAGAAACATTCGAGATCATCAAGTCCCTTCATTTAAGCCACGGAGCTGGTGTGACTTAGGTGAGGTCACAGCGTGTGAGGCGCGGAGCCAAGACTGGAGGCCCTGCCCCATCCCACCCCAGGCTACCCCACGGAGTGTTCAGGGTGTAATTGGGACTTTTGGCTGAAGAGAAACTTGTATATGCTCAGCCTACTTTCAAGGATGCCCTTATATTGCTTCCTAAAAGATTATCATGGTTTCTTGTCTATACTTTGTCTACACAATTAATTGTAAGTTTCTGCAAAACACCAGGTAGGCCCCACAGGACAGGGTTGCCAGGGTGCCGTCTGGCCCTGTCAAGAAAAGAGGAAAAAAAGAAAGAAAATGGTAAGAGCTGCCCAAAACTAAAACAAGAGAAAAAATAGAAATAAACATGTGTTGAGCAGTGGTCGATGTGTGTTATTTTCTAATGAACACCCTAAAGAGCAGGGCCCTTGTTGTATGTTCTTTGTAGCCCTTGCAGATAAAAGGTGCCTAATGAATATTCAGTAGCTGCAGAAGGAGGTTGAATGACATGCAGAAGAGGGTCACACAGCCACCTGACGGCAGAGGGAGAGCCGAGAGCCCTCTCTCTGCTCTCTCCACCTCACTCTTACTCTCTTTTCCTCTTCGCATACAACATAATGATCACAATAGCCTTTCCAGAATACTGGTAATAGCGCGAGCAAAGCAGAATCCCCTTGGGTGGAAGAAGAAAGACTAGCCCGCAGGCCTCCTGGCTCTGGGTCCGTGTGGATTCCTGCACAATTTCCTCCAGGCAGTGGATGCTGGCTATTTCATTTGTAGAGATGGATTTTACAGGCAGGGTGGCCTCGTGGGAATAACATTAGCCTTTTTTATAGCCCCTGAGAATCCCATCTTCCAGTACTCAAAAGCATCTATTTAGGTCATTAAAAATTAGTCACCTGTCCCTTTGAGCTCAGTCCCCACAATGCTAAGGACAATGGGCAGGCCAGTGTTGGAAAGTCCAAGTCAAAGCTGCCGCCAGCACATCCACACGAAAGACGTGGACAAGGATGTTCACAGCAGCGGAATTTGGGACAGTCCCAAACTGGAAACTCCCTAAAAGACCATCGCTAGTAGAACAGGTTAATTAATTGTGATATTAATAGGATGGAATACTTCTCAACAGTGAGAACGAACAGACCGCAGCAACCACATGACTGAATCTCACACATACGATGAACACAAGAAGCCAGACACCGAAGGCAGGCACAAATACATCATTCAAATCCATTGTCTAAAGTACAAAAGCAAATGTAACTGATCTGTGTTGTTAGGTTAGGGCAGCAGTTCTCCAGGGTCAGACCAAGGGTAAAGACTGGCCAAGGGGACTCCTGGCAAAGTACTGTGTCTAGATCTGAAGGCTGCCTCCCAGGAGTGTGTTCATTTGTGAAAATTCATCGAACTGTACACTTTCCCTTTGTGGACTTACCTGTACGTATATTATTCTTCAATACAAAGTTTAGTTTTGGGAGTAACCCTCCCTGTCTCCCTCAGAACAGCCGGCCGTGGCATCGTGTGCTCGGTCCCCCTCTCACCCCTGCCCTTCTGGTCCTCTGTCCCAGCAGCTGCAGCAGTCACACTTAACCCGGCCGCACCTCCAGCCGCAGCGGAACCCATACCCAGTGCAGCAGGTCAACCAGTTTCAAGGTAAGGCCTGTGTAGCTGGTAACGTTGCCTTATGAGCTGTGTTTGTGTCAGGTAATATTAAGAATATTCAAGAACTGAAAGTACCAGCCAATCAAAATGCATTCTTAGAGGCCCCCTACTGGATCCCAGAAAGGAGACGGTGGGGTCAGGGAGGGGCTGGGGTGGCTGAGGGCTAAGGGAGCTGTTCTTTGCCAAAAGTACGGAAGTATTTCGATTGTTCAGCAACCAGTAAGAACATGCCTGTGCCAGTTGGTCCAATGTCAGGTCTGTTGATGCCGGGATCACCCCCTCAGTGACCCCTGGGGGTCGGGGGGGGAATCTTGTACCACATCTTGCTAACCCCCCAGGTTGTCTGGCAAAAGCCCTCGCTTCCCACAGCCAAAGTGGAGGACATTCTGGCCTGCAGCAACCTCTAATCTCTACTGACCATAGAAACAAAAGGCCTTGAGAATTGGACCATCTTGATCCTACTGCCCTTGGTGGAATCCCAAATCATGACCCCCCATATGACTTATGCATATGGATGCACCGTACTTCATTCTTTTGTAAAGTAGGGGCCATTCAAATAGCATTCTTTCCATCTCTAATAAAGAGAGCCCTTGATGGTCCTGTGTGGGGTGGACGGTAAGCCTGCGGACCCCTCCCAGTCCATCCACAGGGAAGCTCCAGGGTCCCCTAACAGCAGAAATCCTAATTCCCATCCCCTTCCATTTCCATAGAACCTAGCTCCAAGCATCCTAACTTCTCACAGGTACCGATCCCTTTGCAAATCTGTCTGGAGCTGTGAAGCTCTGTGCACAGAAATATGCATATATGAAAATATATAACATTTCACAAGTGTTATACCTCTCCATAGACTGTGGGTGACAAGTGACCTAGGATAACATTTTTCAGTCTTTGGATTATAACACACAAATAGATTAAGAAGACAATTTAACAAGCCACAACCATCATTTTTTTAAATGAACTACAATGGAACAGAAACTATCAGAGTGTTTCATAAGAAGGGAAACTTTTGCTCCTACTTGAGACACATATGTGCGCACACCAAGTCGTGCGCTATGAGTTGTGGTTTAAAGAGCCTGCTGGCTCTTTACGCTCACAGCTGGTCTCACTGAAGACAGCCCATGAGCGTGCTGACACCTGAGGGGCTACCACTCCCTTCCACGTGACCCAGGGACGGACAGAAGAAACCGGTCTGTCCACAGGTGCTCCGTGCATGACATTAGTGCCGGTATTCTTTGAAGAATCCTCACCTGGTCGTGGGCGAGGAGGAGTGGCGAATAGTCACTGCTGTCCCGGCCGTCTCTGTGGCAGGCACAGGCCTCCTCTGTTCCTGCAGGTCTCCCCCTTCACCTGCATCAGAATCCCCAGCGAAGCCCCTTAAAACACAGACGGCCCAGCCACCCCTCGGAGTCTCTCCTCAGGAAGTCTCTAGCGGGACCTGAGAATTTACATTTTGACAAATTCCCAGAAGTCGCTGCTGCTGCTGCCGGTAGAAGGACCTCACTTTGAGAACCGGAGGAATCATGAACTAATTAAAAACATGAAATCTGATAAACCCAGCGTCATGTCCATTGGGTCTTCTAGGTTCATAACACATTTATTGTTTTTTGTAATAAAGGGACCCACCAAAATTTAACAATTCCTCTGTATTATGAATTATTCTAAATGCATCGTTTCCAGTCTAAAAGTTCTACTCTTTGAATTATTCTAAAACCTCAAAGGACAGGTAATAAACCTAAAAATTTAGCTACACTTAAGCTAAACAACCAGTGGGTTCCTGAGCGGAAGTGTATATGGTTTGGGTTGGTTTTTTTTTAACTATTTTCAGTATTTTCCATCTATTTACTAACACCCTAGATATTGTAATGTTATGTATCTGGGAAAATAGCAAAGTGATAGATAAGAAATAGTGTCCTTGGAGAGAAGTTCTGGTAGGAATAGCCTTCATGAGAAACTACACACCTCAAAGGTTCTAATGACTATCTTTCTCTTACTGAGTTCTGTGTCCCAGGGCAATGTTACGTGCCTGTGAGAAAATGCTTATTTTCCACAAATGCAGGCATCTTGTGAGTGAAAATAGAACATAGACCCTTTTAGGAAAAAAATTTCGTATTATCCTCTCTATTAGAATATGGAAGATTGTCTTTGATTTTATGATGTTAACCAGTAGACAAGAAAATTAATTTGACTATAGTGTCTCACCATATTATCTGTTTTAGATAAAAACAAGAAAGAAGAAAAAGTAGTCTGTTGTTTAACATATGTAGTAATCAGATAAAGGCAAGTTAATTCTTTGGACGCATTTAAATTTTTTCCTATGTATATTTAAAATTACTGATGGCAAAAAACTAGATTAATAAAGTGCTTTTGTTATCCTTGAAAATATGGTGCTGATTGCTGATTTTAAAATGCCCTTCTTTTTTTCAATAAGAATTACACCTAGATAGTGCAGCCATTTATACTAAGTAAAAATAAAGGTTGGCTTGGATTAATCTTTTAATACCTCTTAAAAGGCATTGCAGCATTTCAGCCCTCTTAATAAAGGAACCTATTTCTAACTCAGAAACTTACAATACCCAGACAATACCCAGTCCCTCAACATGTCCATTATATCCATACGACAAAAATTTCTATAATACTGAAGTCTTTTTTATCTGTTTCCAGCAGCGCATCAGCCTATGTGTGTAATTTGGGTCTATCTGATCAATCTCTGAGTCAGCAATATTTTTCCCTTAAATTTTTAAATAAACAACTCAAAACCCATGTCACCACAGTTGATCAGATTGGTCATGCAGTCAATACAAATTTAGCTGTTAAGGTCACAAAACTTCATAACAAGATTACAAGTTGCACTATATACTACCATGCAGTATTTAATCAGGGACTTTTGATTTTTTTTAAATCACTTTGATATAATTAAGCTCAAAACAAACAAAAAAAAAATGGAAACATTGGTCAGGATAGCCCCTGGATCTTTCAGCCTTCCCCACAGCAGCCATTTCATTTTTCAATGCAGAATGATATTGATCTCAAGCCTCAAAAACTTAAATCATAATCAAAATTCCCATAATTTTCTTTCTTAAAGGAAGAAATAATATATGGAGACATATTTGCTGCCCAGAAATCAATACCCCCATCAGGAAGACAAAAACACACTTCAGTTATCTGCCATGGTGCCAGGTTTAACAAGGTTACACTATTCTCATCTGGTTTCTCATCTGAGTTCCAGGGAGGATCAAATTTGCTTATAATATCGATTGGCTTCCACGCTGCATCTTTTTTAAATGTCCAGGAAAAGAAACTATTTTTCTTTGTCTCATAGAGTTACTCATTAGCAGAGATGTAGAAAAATCCATTGTGTACTCCTCCTAGTCCCTTAGAACATTGACTGGGGTTTGGAGGGTGACACTTCTCTCCTCCTGGCTGCTTTGGAGATTCCCAGGGAACACGGAAAGAAGGACTCATTCAAATCCCTGATTAGAGTGGAGTGACTTGGCACGTTCACACTCTGACCAACTTCTAAACAGCATCATTAAAACGCAGTTAGCGATCTGCTGAGAGCCATAGCCATTGCCGATTTCAAGGAGTGGACTTCGCTGGAGAAAACCATGAAGTTCACTGCCAAGTAGCAAGTAGCAGGATGATTTCTTCTAGCTCAGGGAGCCAGGACATGTTATGATTCAGAGAAACTGCAGCATGTGGAAATCTACACCGTGGGTCCAAAAAACGTCCCATCTGTCGATGTAGCTCCTTTGCAGAAGCAGTGGCCTTTAACCTCCCAAATCCCACTCAAGTCTTATGGGAAATTAGTCCAGTGGTCTTTACTGATAGTGTTCTCTACTGTCCCCTTCACAAACAGAGGATGCACAGTGGTTGCCGTTTCTTCTTAATTCAGCCCAGGAGGTGAATTTCCTCTCACCTCCAAGAAAAATGATACCTAATTGGTTGAGAATGGCATCATATCAAGAAATGTGAAAAATAATTTGCTTCTGAAATGTGAACAAAAATAATATCAGGGTAATCAAGTGAAAAGTTAACTACAAAAGCTTGTGCGCAGATGATCTCAATTGGTGTGTATCTGTTTATATATAAATATTAGTTAGCAGTAGTCATCTTTGGAAGGTGGGAACTTGGGTGGCCAATTTTCATCTTTGTGCTTATTAATATTTTCCAAACCTTTCACAATCAGTGTTTGTTACAAGCAGAAAAACAATAATTGTTTTTAATAGGGATTTATTATCGGAAGAGATCCTTTCATGTAAGAGAATTCTGTCACTCCCAAAGAAAATCCTAGCATCTTGTCACACATTGCTTATCGAGAAGAGTGAGTGGTGTGTGTTCTTTTTCCCCGCAGGTTCTCCGCAGGACATAGCAGCCGTGCGAAGCCAAGCAGCCCTCCAGAGCATGCGGTCGTCACGGCTGATGGCACAGAACGCAGGCATGATGGGAATGGGACCCTCTCAGAACCCAGGGACAATGGCCACAGCCACCGCCCAGTCAGAGATGGGACTGGCCCCTTACAATGCCACGCCTACTAGCCAACCAGGAATGTACAACATGAGCCCAGGAATGACCCAAATGTTGCAGCACCCAAACCAAAGTGGCATGAACATCACACACAGCCCGGCCCAGGGGCCGAGGCAACCCGCCTCCGGGCAAGGGGTTGGGATGGTGAGCGGGTTTGGTCAGAACATGCTGGTGAACTCAGCCATGAGCCAGCAGCACCAGCAGATGAAAGGGCCGGTAGGCCAGGCCTTGCCGAGGCCCCAGGGACCACCAAGGCTGCAGAGCATCATGGGAACAGTCCAGCAGGGAGTCCAGAGCTGGCAGCAGAGGAGCTTACAGGGGATGCCTGGGAGGACTAGTGGAGAATTGGGGTCATTTAGCAACGGTGCCAGCTACTCGCTCCAGGCCGGCCAACCGCGGCTGACCAAGCAACACTTCCCACAGGGACTGAACCAGGTCATGGACACCAACACTGGTGCCGTGCGAACCCTCAACCCGGCCGCCATGGGTCGGCAAATGATGCCACCGCTCCCAGGGCAGCAAGGGGCCAGCCAGGCCAGGCCGATGGTCATGTCTGGCCTAAGCCAGGGCGTCCCTGGCATGCCTACATTTGGCCAGCCCCCAGCCCAGCAGCAGATGCCCGGCGGCAGCTTTGCTCCAGGCGGCCAGAGCCAGGCCTACGAGCGGAACGCCCCTCAGGACATGTCCTACAGTTACAGCGGCGAAGCCACGGGGGCTCCCTTCCCTGGCCTCTCGGACAGTGCCGACCTCGTGGACTCCATCATCAAAGGCGGGCCGGGCGATGAGTGGATGCAGGAGCTCGATGAATTGTTTGGAAACCCCTAGTCAAGAGGGGCCCCAAGAGCCACAACTCTAGTGGTTAAAGCATACAATGGGAAAAAGAAACAGGATGTGGACCCATCCTTGTTTTTTGTTTTTTTGACCCACGTAAACTGAGCAAAACGGCAGCTGGCTGATAGTGGAAGATCCAGGTGCCAATCCACAGCTCCGCGGGGTCTCGTTTCACCTGATTTTCACACAACAGTCAAGACCGGACGCCGCACAGATCCCCGCTGCGAGAGAGGGAGACGCAGCAGAGGCAGGTGGGGAAGACGAACCTGAGCCCCTGCTCGGCGCGCCCTGTGGTCGATCACGTGGCCCAGCAAGAGCTGCTCCAGCCCAGTCAGACCACTGCCCATGGCAAGGCATCCGTCCGGCCCTCCTGGCCCAGGAGTGGAGACTGCAGCTTTGGAGACACCCAAGACGGGGCCTCGAGCAGGGGGAGCCCCACAGAGCCTGCCAGGTGGGTGCCCAGGCCAAGAGCCCAGGTCAGCAGCGTGCTGAGCTCTGGCTGCAAAGAGATGTCGGGCTGCAGGACGTGCAACTGGATGTGGAGGGCAGCTGCGAAGAGTGGTGAGATGTCGCAGGGAGACTACTAAGGATCCTACAGGCCTGTCTCCTGTCCCGCAGTGACCTCAGGAATGTCAGAGACGTGCTGTTGGCTGCCTCACAAGGGTCGCCAAGGGAGCTGGGAGGAGCTGCAGCCCTGGGGCAGCCCTCTGCTGCTGACCATGGTGGCCATCGCCCCACGTAGTTGGCATGGAACCTCTGGGGAGCCCAGTAAGATGGTAGCACATCAAGGCAATTCCCATCTACTCCCGGCACCGCGGGGCGGGGAGACCCTGGCAGATGCTGTGTGCCTACCAGCATGGCCACCTTCCTCTCCACCCCTGCCTTCGTCCCTCCTTGTGTCCATCCCAGCATCCTTTCTTCTCCTCACAGATGATCCAAGAAGAAATGAAGCTTTTGTCTCTAGGGAGCCTGGGCAGAGTAGAAATAAATGCAAGAAGAGCTTAGACAATACCTGCAACGCCAAGGCGATGCTGGAGTGTTCTTTCTCTACCACGTGCGGAGCTGAATGAACGGTGTCTGCCTGGAACTGAGCAGGCGGCTCCGATGCCCGATGGGAGGTTACACGTACCACATTCAGCTCTAACGGTGTAACCAGGGAGGGCCAGCCTGGGGGTCTCCCGCTCAGGCTCCCTGTGGGGAAAACCCGGGGTGATGCTCTAAAATCAGCCTTGCCCTCAATCCTGTGCCCTTACTCACCAGAAAGACAAATCTAAACCCCTGAGAGATGAGGCGCTGGAAAATCAATTACTCTACCTTACACATTTTGATGACAAAAAGGAAGATATGGTTCCTTCCACATGGGCACATCATCCACTTCAAAAGTCCTGTACAGTTGTTCCGTGTGACGCACTCAACTCTCCCCTGACTAAAGTCTGTCCGAGGCATCGGCGAGCTCCATGATCGTGAGGCCTGTCTCTTTGTTACAAGGACTGATCTGTGTGTCCTGCCTCCCCTCCCACTGTCCTGTTTTGGAGGCCACGTGGCATCATTACTGTCCTGTGAGTGAGAGTGACATGTGCTTTTCTCCTCCCACCCCTACCCTCCATGTCCAAAAGGCTGGCTCCCTGTTGGGCAGCCACACGCAACTCGCCACACCAGAGCCTGGACTCGGGACCGAGGGGAACTGGCGGGCTGCCCTGGGGAAGGTCCTGAGAAGGGGGGTCCGGATGGGAAGCTGAGGGCAGAGGATGAGGGGTGGCAGGCAGGCCAACACTGCCTTGCCTTGCTCGCCAGGCCCTCAGGTTATAGGCTGAGTCAGCAAGGGTAGGATGGAGACAGAGGCGGCCGGGTGGCCGGGAGCCCAGGCAGGGGCCGCGCTCTCTCTGCGAAGAGGCGTGAGTAGGGTGACCGTGAGCACCCTGTGTGGGGAGAGACGCTGCCAGGGAAACTCCTGAGTGGAAACAGATGAAAACCAAAAAAAAAAAAAAAAAAAAGTAAAAGTAAAACAAGACAGACCGGATAATTACCCTGTTCTGAAAGGTACAGGAAATAAATATATAAGCAATGATGAGAAGCTAAAGGTGGCTGATGGAAGAGTGGCTCTGTTACCTTTTAAAAGCTTCCTCCAAATGCTCAGTCCTGGGACCAACTAAATAGAGAGGTAGATTTTAATAATGTTTTGTTTTTGTTTTTACTACGGTGCTGATGTATATGTAATGTCTAAAAAAGTTATTTGTAAATAAGTTTTTACAATACGGCAGATATCACTGGGTCTACTATCTGTAAAAAATATATACATATAAATATATATATACTGTTTGTTTAAAATAGAGTATTTTTATTTCATTCCTTAACTCATCATCACAGCAGTGGTATTGCACTTCAGATGACATCTAATTACTAATTTGTACTGTATGACCTATGGCAACTTGCTCCATTTTATTCAGATTTTTCTAGTTTTCTCTTTTTACTTTGTACATTGAGCATTGCTTATTTCCTTTTAAGAAATGTACAGAACTCTTAAATGTAGAAATGAAGTGATGTTGACATACTACTTTTAAAGAAAAAAAAACAAATAAAAGATTGTTATCTGAATCAACCCAAAGTTTAGTTTATTTTTGGCTTGTCACTGGATCTCCAACCTTAATTAAGCAGATATATTATGCCTGGGTTTTAATTGATTAACTGTGGTTCTTGTCTCAAAATTATGGTATCATTATTTAAACATTTATGTAACAGTAGAGAGCAATCCATCACTCACAGCCTTTCTAATTCAACCACACACCGAAAATGTTCTAAATCTGCACGCAGGACATGGCAGCGGTAACAGGAGAGCCAAGTGTGAAAGGAACGGACTGAAGTACGGCTGTGGATTTAGCACTGTAACAATCCATGTCCACCTGGTTCATTCAGAAGACTTGGAAAAATGACAGTAAAATTTTTATTTAAAAACATAAGGTAAGAAAACTAAAGGAATATATTGCGGGGGAGGGGTACCAAAGAGGTTTTAGCTCCCCTGGAGCGGACACTGTCCGCACACGCGTACGTTCGCCTTCTACCAGCCCAGCTGGGCCAGGGCCTGGCTTAGCCTGCACCCACCCACAAGGAGTTAAAGTGCTTAGGCAGGTCCATCCTCCCTGGGGCAGGAGGGTATGAGCCCAGGTAACTGCCTGGGCAAATGCTGGGATGGGATTCCTGTTCCAGAGCTCCCCCTGCAGGATCAAGCAGTGGCTGGGACTTTGCCTAAAGTTGCCCCCTTGCTGGGCTTCTTGCCCTTCTCTGCCCTGTTTCCCCCGCTCCCTTTTTGTTGCCCATCCTGGGAGCTCTTTATTAACCATTCGCACACGTGGGACTTTACCCCTTTGCTCCTAGAAGACCTGGCCTAGGACCACTGCAAGGGAGTCAGAAACAGATCCAAAACAAAGGTGATTTTTAATACATACAGACCAAGAGAATATGAACTTGACCGTGGAAGAAGAGGCCAGTCCTACCCACAGTGGATTATGGTTCCAGAATGGCCGGCAAATCACACCATGTGACATTGGGTAACATGAGGTCAAAAAATGAACTGAATCCGGGGTGAGGCAGGAGGCGTGGGGAGGCTGAGAACAGAAATACAAACATGAAGCTCTGAGAAGGTTTGTGTACTCCTAGTCCCGATTAATTAAAGCCGCATCTTTGTATTTATGCAAAAATGTGTTCTGCATCAGATGAATGGAATAAATGTCTCCTTTAAATGATTTTTTTATATGCAACCATACTGACCTTCATAAAATCCCAGTGCAGTAAGTGGGTGGTGAGGGAAGACAGAGGGAGGGCATAGCCTCTATCCGGGAAGGCATCTGCCCCAGTGAGAAAGACGTATTTTGTTGCTGAAAATTGAGAAATATTTGGAAGCACTGGATGAGCCATTTCTGTCTCTGACCAGTCTTTTCACAAGGAAGACCGTCAGGAAAAGGTGGAAAACAAATAACCGGACACTTTCTCTTAATGAATGACTTGTCGGCCACCCCCACGAACCTCCAACCTTGCAGAGAAAAGTGAGGAGGAAAAATACCTGGTTGTACAACCAGTCCTTTATCTTTTCATTTTCTTTTTCATTTTTCCCCTCTCCTTTTCTCTCCAAGTTTTCTCCTCTCTTTTCCTTTTGGTTTTAAGTTCTAAGGACATTAGATTTCCATTCTGGTGTCTTCTGGACAAGCTACCACAGACACCTGCCTCGTTTCATGCAACAGGTGGAGGTAATCATGGCAGCAGTCACACACTTGGGGCTCGGGTGTCCCTGCCTAGCCCAGGCCAGCTGCGGCCCGGGCCCTGGCTGCGGCTCCGTGAACGCCGCAGCTCCCACAAGCATACAGCGTTTCCGAGCTACCTGCTTGCAGGATGTAACTTGGCTTAGCTCTTTAAGCTTTTTTTTATGGGCATTTTCAAAAAAATTATAAAAATAGAAAACAAATACTACAATAAATAACAATATACACTTACCAACTCAATTCGATCATCGTTAACACTTTGCCAAATCACATCCATAGTTTGTGGAACCATTTCAAAGTCAGCTATCCACAGTCCAGCCAGCTCACCCCGCCACCTCTCCGCTTGCAGCCCCAAAGAGGTAGGACATTCTCCACACCGGCCACACTGCCGTGATCGCATCGAATGTGACTCACATTCATTCCTTGAGCGCACTGCCTTCTCACTCCGTATTCAGGTTGCCCCGATTGCCTCCCAGCTGTCTCCCATGGCTGTTTTATTCTAACCAGGATGTGAGCACGGGTCCTGCCTTGCCATTTGCTTTATATGCCTCTTACGACTCTTTTAAGGCAGAAACGATCCTCTCCACCCCTTTTTTCATACCATTGACTTTTGAAGCAATCAACCTGATTTCTAAAAATAAAATCAGTCAAACATATAAGGGAGCCCCAGAATGGCTAGCAGCTGACTTCTCAACGGAAACACTACCAGCCAGAAGAGAATGGCAAGAAATATTCCAAGCCATGAAAAGCAAAGGCCTACAACCAAGACTGCTGTACCCAGCAAGGCTCTCAATTAAAATGGAAGGCAAAATAAGCAGTTTCCCAGACAAAAGGAGGCTAAAAGACTACACCTCCACCAAACCAGCACTGCAAGATATGCTAAAGGGACTGCTTTAAGATGGTGAAGAAAAAGAGTCTAGGAATACCCAGTTCCTCTCACAGTCACCAATACTTGATATTACCAATATTTTTGATACTTATTAATCTGATTGTGACAATGATGTGTTATTTTAATTGTTACTTTATTATTTGTTGAAACTAAACCTGTTTTTGTATATTTCTTGCCTATTTCTATTATTTTTAAAAAGCTTTAGATGACTTTTTGCTATTCTTTATCCATTTTTTGACTAAGTGTTGGTAGAAATTTTTCCCTTAAAAAAAAAAAAACCTATTAACCCTTTTTAGATGTGTTGCAAATACTTTCTTATTCTATTACTTGTCCTTTAACTTTTTAAATATGTACATTACTGTATAGTCTTAAATGTTTAATATAGTCACATTGTCAATATTTTACTTTATAGCTTCTGGGTTTGAATATTTTACCTCAGGGTAAGAAAAATATTATTTTGTACTTTCTCCTAAAATTCCTTAGATTTTACATACTGATTTTTAACTCACCTGAATATTTTTTTGAATGTGTGAAACAGGGCTCTATATTTGTTTCATTTAAAGTAATAGTGGTCCATGCACCTTATTTGTTGAATAAGCCTTATTTTCCTCATTGATTTGAAATATCAATTTAATCATATATTACATTGTCAGACAGATACATACGTTTGTTTCTAGAATGCTCATTTTATTTCATTGATCTACTTGATTATTTCTGTGCTGGTGTCATGTTTTAATTGCTGAGACTTTATAATGGATGTAAATTTTTTAATATTTTATAATGGATTTGACATTTAAAAAAATAAAATCAATCTGCATTTAAAAAAGAAGGAAGGAAGAAACTCCTACCTTTCTGCTACAACATGGATGGAACTGGAGAATATTATGCTAAGTGAAATAAGCCAGTTGGTGAAAGACAAATACCATATGATCTCACCTATAAGTGGAATCTATTAAACAAAAAAAACAAACAAAATAAAACACAGGCATGGAAACACAGAGCAGACTGAAAGTGACCCAAGGGAATGGGGAAGGAGGACAGTGGTGGAAAGAAGGGAAGGGACTAGACCAGGAACATGTACAAATGACCCATGGCCATGGACAACAGCGCGGGAATTGACTGGGGGGAGAGCAGGCTGTGTGGGAAGGGTGGAGGGGGCAAAGGGGAAAAATTGAGACAACTGTAATAAAATAAACATGATTTTAAAAATACTATAAAAAATAAAAATAAATAAAATCAGTCAATTTACTAATAGACAAAAGATATATTTCTAATTGTCGAAGAGATCGGAAATTCGCGTCTCTCCAGCCAGTGTGTTTGCTCCCTGTAGCCAAGTTTGTAGGGATTAAAGTGATCAAGAGGTTGCCTTGGTGACAATAGAATTAGAACAAAGGAAATAAATTCTGTAGTTCAGATGTCTGAAGATACAATGCTCCCATACCGTGGCACGCCTGTCTTTTCTTTCCACGTGTTGTTTAACCAACCTCTGTGTCTCTGTTTATAATTTAAATAGTTTCCATTTAGATGCAAAATAGAAGTTTAAAAATCCCCAAATGTAAGATTTGAAGAGTTGTGTTTTTCCCCCACTTCTGACGGATATGATTACGTAGTAATTGTACTTTAGGGTCAAATATTTGCACGCTCTCTCTTCCTTGTCTTCAGTGTATAAAATTAAAATGTCACAAGTCACCATAACTGATCAGAATGCCGAAACGTAAAAGCACCGCAGAATCAGAGCATTTTAAAACTTTAGCCCCATTTTGGCTGCTAGAACACTAAGGCAGAGCCTGCAGTCTCTCACCTGGGCTCCAGACCCCGCCCTTTTTTCCGCTCCTCTTCCTCTGCTTAGGGGCTTGCCCAGAGTGACAGCAAAGGATGGGACACAGAGCTTGTAACCATTCCCAGACCAAAACGCCCGGCGTACTCGAGGATACTTAGTACTAGTATTTGGGGCACAAGAGGTTGTCATTGTTTTCTCCCCTATTTTGGAAACACTGGTGTTTCACTGCCTGTATTTCTTTTTCTATTATTCCCAGCCTTTGTAACTTCCTTTGCACCCAGAAAAAAAGGGAAGTCCCCATAAACAGCTTCTTGAAGATATCCACATCAGATTCAAGGCATCTGAGGTTTTTTGGAAAAATGGAGAGCTCTTTCCCTGATGTGAGGTTATATGCTCATAATTCCATTTTCCTAAGGCCGCTGAGTACTGTGAGGTGGACTCGTTCTCATTTTAGAGATGAAGGAAGTGAAGGCCATTTGCAATTGTGCCAGTGACTGCACATGGGGTCACGACAGCCACCGGCCCCAAGCCCCACGTGAGACCGAAAGTGCACCCAACCCAGCCCGGGGCCCCCAGCTGTGATCATACCCCCGCCCCCGCCAGGAGGAGGAACCTTCACTGAGCACAGGTCTCTGGATGGTTCCTTGAAGATAATGCCTTTTTTTTCTTTTTTCTTTATAAAGTCCATTTTCACAGCCAGATTTATTTTGTGTGATTAGTTGGCAACTCTTCTCTGCCTACTCTGTCACTTTCCTACCACCAAAGAAGTGGGCTCAGTGGCCTTATCAGTGTCTGTCCGGAACTTTCCACGGAGAGAGCAGCAGTGTCAGAGGCGGGTGATGGCGGTGGCCCACAGAAAGCCCGCCCGTGGGTCAGGCAGCCCGCTCCGCCTCCCCACCCCCGCAGTCAGGCTCAGCACGCTTCTGCGGAGCTCCTGCCACACCCTCTCAGGGCAAACTTCAGTTCTTAAAGGAATGGGAAATCTAGTCTCTAAAGGGTGTGCTTCTGCCCTGTGTGGCTCAGTAGACTGAGCACTGCTCTTCGAACTGGAAGGTCGCTGGTTCAAATCTTGATCAGGGCACAGGCCTGGGTTGTGGGCCAAGTCCTCAGTTGGGGGCATGTGAGAGGCAGTTGATCAATGTTTCTTTCCTTCTCTCTCCCTCGCTTTGCCCCTCTAAATAAATAAATAAATAAATAAAATCTCTGGCAGGTGTTCTTCTACAAAGTCATTTCAAGAAAAACAAAATAAATAAAGACTCTTATTTTGTTTTAATTGAACAAGTGATTGCCTATAACCTCCAGCGTGGAAACAACTTCTCCAAGCATTTGGGCAGAGGGGAGGGGGAGGTTAGAAGCGCCTCAGCATCTTGGCGAGATCGAGGTCCAGGTATTCATCCAGAAAGCTGTTTGCAATCCCCAGGGCGCCAAGGACAGTCAGCAAGGCCAAAATCCCCAGGCTAAACCGGAAACCAGTGACCCTGCAGAGCGGAGGTGAGGGAGGGAGGTGACCAACGGTTGCGGTGGTGACACTGGGGCAATCCTGCAGTCGCTGCTCATGCTTGACACTGCCCAGAACTTCCATGTTTTGGCCATTTGAAAATTTCGATTCATCACATAAATTAAAGGGGATGCCTAACCACAAAGGCCAGTTATCTCTCTGAACATTCAAAGGATTTTTTAAAGCTGGGCAGGATTATTTCCTTGGTAACTCCTTGGAGACAGGGAGAAATTTTTGCAAGGATTGAAAGTGTGATGGTCAAAGAGCGCCATTCAGTGCACACTTTTACACTTGACCTTTCCTGTCTCGTGCCTACTTGTACATGGGCTTGGGGAGACAGTGGCCTCAGACAACATAGGTCACCTTTGCGATCGCAGCCATTGATGCTGTTAATATTCTCGGGAACAGGAAACTAATTCAGACTCCCCCCGCTTTTTGCCTACACATCAATTCTGGGGTTCACCTTACCTTTTTTTAGCAGCTTCTGAATATCCCCAGAAATACTGATGGCGGGTATATATGTATACCAGACCCAGACCAGTAGCAAAAACTATAGAAGAAAATAGAGAAGATAGAGAATATGAAGGCAGTCTCTCAAAATGTGGTATGAAGACTTAGAAAATGCTTTCAAAACATATGTCTGACAAAGACGTGTGTCCGGGATATAGAGAGAACTCAGTAGTAGTTCAATAACGAAAGAGAAACAAGCTAATTTTTTCAATGGGCAAAATATTTGAATAGAGAATTCACACAGGAAAATAAACAAATGTACCAAAAGCACGTGAAAATTTTTTCCACATTATTCAACATCATTTAATATCAAGAAACTGTGATTAAAGCCACAAGGTGACACCAGTGCACACCAGAGTGGCTCAGACGTGAAGAGACTGACCACACATATGTTGGTAACGTCAGAATCTGCATCTCTTATTGGTGGGAAAGCTAAATAGCACAGCCACTTGGGGGAAAGGTCAGGTAGTTTCTTATAAAACTAAACATACTTTCGACCCAGCAATTTCATTCCTATGTATTTACCCAAGAGAAATGAAAGTCCATGTCTATAAAAAGACTTGTACAGAATGTCCATTGCAGACATTATTCATAATAGCCCAAAACTGGAAACAGCCCCAGAAGTCTACTGACAGGGGACCAGATAACCAAACCGATAATCATGCAACGGAATAGCACCCGGCAATGAAAAGAAACATGGGGAATGGCAAAAACATGTTACTGAGTGAGTGAAGCATTACCCAAGAGCACATACAGTATGATTCCAATTAGGGAATGTTCCAGAATGGGCAGAGCTAAACTAGGATGAAAAAACTCAGAACAGAGTTTGCCTCTGAGAGGAACTGACAGGGAAGGGCACAGGGAAACGTTCCAGGTGGTCACCACATTCTCTGTCTTGATAGGGAATCGGGCTGCTCAGGTATAGACACTTGTCAAAACGCATTGAATCATACGCTTAAGATGTTTGGATTTCTTTAAAATAAGTTTTACCTAAAAGAAATATAAAGTGTGGTGTGATGTTCTGCCATCCTGTGCAACAGAAAATATCAAAACTTCCCTACGTAAAGAGCCCTCTCAGCACCTCACAGGCGCAGATTGCCAGAGCCCCCTTGTAAACATGTGGGGTTTATCTGCGAGCTGCTGACATGCTGGGTAGAATTAAAGTCATTGTGTCACTAGGTCACAACTGTCCCCTTTAGTCTCTGCTACATACCAGGCATTATTCTAGGAATTGGGGTTAGCAATGAAACAGATACAAGTTCCCTGTCTTTACGGAGTTTATCAGCAAAGACAGACAACAAACAGAAAAATGAGAAGAAAAGGACAGGCTTCAAGGTGTGGTGAAGGAGGTAAGGGAGGGGACAGTGGGAAAAGAAAGGCACCTTTGGTTTTCCATTCGGAGGGGACGGCATTAGCATGAGGGCCTGAAGGATGGCAAGGGGACCCCCTGCAAGGTGCCTGAGGAAGGGGGTGATTTGGAGCAGGCTGCGGGGTGAAACGCCCTCTCTAATGAACAGCTCTCAGAAAGCCAGTGGGAGCTGTCCAGAGGCAGCTAATAGGCAACTTACTTTGGATAAGAAAGAAACAAGAGAAAATTACAAGAAGATACCTGAGAAAGCCTTTCCTGACAGGCAGCGAAATCCGAAAGCAGACCGAGTCTCATTATCAAAAGGCACTTTTCTTATTAGCTGTTAATGTGGTCTCACCTGACAAGGACGGAGACCTCCATTCCTGCCCTCAAGGCACAAAAATGTGAGTTGGAATAAAGAAGCATTTCTCTAAAGGACATTTTATCCAAAATTCCTTAGTTGACAGTGAAAATCACAAGACGAAGATGATAGCATTGCCTTTGGAAGTAGCGGGATTTGGGTCTATTTAAGTCTTAGCAATCACGAGTCAAACCCAAAGGAGGCAGAGTTCTCAGAACGCAAAAGGAATAGTTTCTCCAGCTAAGGCAGGTGGTGCTGGGTCTGACCTCAAAGGGACAGGTAGAGTCTGGGTAAAGCCCTCAGCACACCCAGGATACCCCCGTCAAACAGAAAGTACATATTTGCAGGGTTGTTACATACAAAACATCCTTAGAATGCTCAAGAAAAGGTTTGTGGGTTGTTGGGTCAAATTCTAGTAGGAAAAAAAATGCACTGTAGAAGATTCCATTGTTAATCAAACTCCTTACTGAAGGGGAAAAAAAAAAATCCAGTAGACCCCGCTCTGTACTTGAAAGCTAATTTTCTCCTACATGGTGACCGTTAAGTTGGACAAACTGCTTAACCTCTCTGTACTTCAGTTTCTTTATCTGTAAAGCAGGAATTAATTACAGAACCTACCTCATAGGAAAGCTGTTAATCCTATAAATCCTACGCAGGAGGTAATGTGTGTATAAAACTTAAAAACAGTACCTGGCACATAGTAAGTGCCCAATAAATATTAGCTATAATAATTAGGGTGAATTGTTAGTTCTATGTTCTGTTCCTATTAAAAAATTATTGAAGCTCCTGGTCAGGATGGTGGCATAGACAGACACGGCTCACCTCTTCACACAACCACATCAAAATTACAGCTAAAATATAGAACAACCATCACTCAGAAACATCAGAAATCAAGTTGAATGGAAGTCTGACAACTACAGAATTGAAGAAACCACATCCATCCAGACTGGTATGAGGGGCACAGACGCAGAGTGGGCTGTTCCCACACCCATGTGGATAAAAATTTGGGAGGGATATCTCAGGAGCAAGGAGTCCCAGCCCCTCCACTAGGCCCCCCAGGCCAGGATTCCAGAGCCAGGAAGATAAGTCCCCACAACCTCTGGCTGCAAAAACCAGCAGGAATTGCGTTGGTGGAAGAGACTGCTGAAGCCCTAAGCAGTTCCTCTTGGGGAACCCATACATGCACTCACCTATTCAGACTCACTCCCTCTGAGCTCCAGCACCGGGGTGGCAGCTTGAAGGGCACCAGTGTTATACAGGGAGAGACTGAAGTGTCTGGCATTGGGGTGAGCAGAGGCCATTGTCCCTTTGCTGAACCCTCCCTCAACCCAGCAAGCTGGTAGGCTGAAGCCAAATCTGAGACTCCATCAACCTGGCTAACACTGTGTGACCCACCTCGGAGATCTACAGAGGCTCCACCCCACCCAACCTACCAGCCCACCCAAGCTACTTTTCCATAAGAATGGCTGGTCTTGGCTCCTAAATCCTATCAAACAAGCAACAGCTGGCTTCAGTGAGCCCTAGCAATAGCCAGACTAGAGTCACAGCTTGGCTTCACCTGGGAATCTCCAAGCCCAGCACAAGTAGCAGCCATCTCAGATTGCTTTACAGCTTAGGCAGGGTGGCCCCAGGCAACACACGGGTGGGGGCTGACCTTGGCCTGCACCAATCTGGAAACTCAAGAGCCTGTGCACCCAGTGGACAACTACAGACCATGTTGGAGCACCACCACCCTGTCCCCACACAGCTGATCTTCCACAGAGGGTGGAGGTTGATGGTGATTGGTCACGGCCAGTCCTTGCAGCTGACTGGCCTGAGTAAATCCCTCCTATTGACTTGCCAACAGCAATCAAGGCTCAACTACAAGAAGAGGGTATACTCAGCCCACATGAAGGGCACACCTTGAGTACCCAGCTTGGGTGATAGGGGAGGCTGTGCCACTACATTAGGCCACACTACCAAGACACAGAGTCAAAGTAACTCTACCTAATACATAGAAACAAACACAGGGAGGCTGCCAAAACGAGGAGACAAAGAAACGTGGCCCAGATGAAAAAACCAGATCAAAACTCTAGAAAAAGAGCTAAACGAAATGGAGATAAGCAATCTATCAGATGTAGAGTTCAAAACACTGGTTATAAGGATGCTCAGGGAAATTAGTGAGGACCTCAGCAGCACAAAAAAAGACCCAGTCAGAAACAAAGCATACACTAAATGAAATAAAGAACAATTTACAGGCAAACAACAGTTAGAATGGATGAAGCCAAGAATCAAATCAGTGATTTGGAACATAAAGAAACAAAAAACAACCATACAGAAAAACAAGAAGAAAAAAGAATTTAAAAAAAAAATGAGGATAGTATAAATGGCCTCTGGGACAACTTTAAGAGGTCCAACATTCATCTCATAGGGGCGCCAGAAGAAGAAGAGAAAGAACAAGAAATTGGAAATCTATCTGAAAAAAATAGTGAAAGAAAAGTTCCCTAATTTGATAAAGGAGATAAACATGCAAGTTCAGGAAGTGCAGAGAGTCCCAATTATGATGGATGCAAAGAGGTCCACTCCAAGGCATGCCATTATTAAAAGACCAAAAGTTAAAGAAAAAGAGAGGGTTTTAAAAGCAAGAGAAAAGGAGTTATTTGCTGGAAGGTTGCCAGATGAGAGGGGAAGGGGGAGAATGGGTGAAGAGGTGAGGGGATTAAGAAGTACAAATAGGTAGTTACAGAATAACTATGGGGATGTAAAGTACAGTTCAGGAAATGGAGTAGCCAAAGAACTTACACGCGTGACCCATGGACATGAACAATGATGAGGAGATTGCCTGAGGGAGTGGGTGGAGGGGAGCAAAGGGGGAAAATCAGGGCAACTGTAATAGCATAATAAATAAAATATAATTTTTAAAAATTACTGAATTAAATTAGAATGAAGCAAAGTTAGATTATCTGCAGCACAGTGCTCTTTAATAAAGAGAGACGTTACTTATTTTGTTCTAAACAATTTCCAGGACTCATAGATGTGTGGTTGCATGTTTGCTCTTAAATAGCTCTGAGAACCATGGTCTTCATTGGGATAGAGTTGATTATACTTTAAAATTACCTTGGTTGAAATACCATCCAGCCATCCACAGTGTAACTATGAATATGGGGTAAAACTCTACACAGTTTTGTCTGCAGGAAAAAATAAAGACATGAGTTATTTTATGAGAAAACCCTACACCAAAGTATTGAGTTTTACTCTCGAGGTAAAATGTCCATTCTCTTTTTACAAAAATAACGTAAGAATTTACATAATGAGCTTAAATGATCCTTACAGGAAAATGAGTCTTTTAAGGTGCAACCCAAACATTGTTTACACCTCAGAGCAAGGCCAGGAATCGCTGTCCTACCTGTAAGTTGCCAGAAGTAGAATTGAATCATGGCTCTCTTCCAAAAGAAAGACAAAGGGGTAGCCATGATTCTGACTCTGAAAAGTATCCTGTATCTTATCTAAAGAACCCAGAAAAATAACTCAAATCATATTGAATGGATTTTCCCCCCAATTCCCTCATATCCATCACTTTCCACTTAAGTTACTCAGCACATTTTAAAAAATGGTCTTTAAATAATTTCCCTAAAACCTCTCAAAGCCAATGAATGAGCATGTTTCATTCGCATTCAACAGAGGGCAAACGAAGTCCCTAGAGCCCAAGCTGACTGAGGCCTCGCAGAGAATCAAAGGTAGACTGTGTCATGGTGTACAGGACTGACATTGATCTCACGTGCTTCCTTAAAGAAGCCTTAGAGCTAGAGGACTTCAATTAAGATTATAGGCCATTGACCCAGAAATAGTTGATATTGGCTGATGAAGATCGTAAGTGATGTCTTTAACTGGAAAAAAAAAAAAAAAAGGTATTTATTTTGTTTTGTTTTTGCAACCGAGATGGCGACAGTGGAGGCTCCTGAACTTCCTTCCCTCCTCTCATGGAATGTGCAGCTACACACAGAGCAATTCCCTCTGAAAAATGTATTATTTTTATAAGAAAGGCCAGGTGGGAGGAGGGAGGAGGAAGATGGGTGAGAAGGTGAGGGGATTAAGAAGTGCAAGTAGGTAGTTATAGAATAGTCATGGGGATGTAAAGTACAGCACAGGAAATAGAGAAGCCAAAGACCTTATACGCATGACCACCATAAACACCACCCTCAGCAGTCTCACCATCAATGCCACCCTCAGCACAGCGCCTTAAAGTCAGGAGGGAACCCCAAAGTCCAGCTTCTATCTGAGGACCACACACCCAGCACCCCAACCTGAGAGCTGGGCCCCCAAACACCTGGCTCTGAAAGCCGATGGGGCTCTCACCCACGAGACCCACAGGGCTTGGGCGGGAAGACAGCAGGGCAGTGGCAGGGCCATTCCCTTAAACTGCTGGCCAGGAGGGACTACGTCCCTGCGCTCACCCCCTGGGGCTCCGGGAAGTACCTGAGAAGGTAGGGAACGGGGTGCCAAAGGCCTGTGTGAGCAGAGGTTGTTAGACACCATTGAGAGTCAGGCAAGGGCAGGACTGTACCAGCATTTGCGATGCCAGAGGGCAAAGCCTGGAGCATTTGGGCAGTGCAGCACCCTATCTCTGCACCCTCCGTCCCCAGGAAATGAGTCCCTGGTCCCCTGCAAGCCGCCACTGGCGGTCTCAGCCTGACCTCCTGTCCCAGCTGCTCTCACTGCACTTTTCTCCTGGTCCCTCTTTGGCTGTCCTCCCTGAAGCCAGCCCTGGGACCCTGCTACTTGCTGACAGTAGTGGTGGCGGCAGCCTGCTAAGAACACCGGGAATTGCTTGGCCTTCACTTACCCAGAATCCCATTCCACCTGCTCAGTATGGCCTCCTCCAGTGTGTGCCTGTGTCCTTCACCTCTGCAGTTAAGCAGCCCATGCCTGGATGAGACCCAGGATAGCTCACTCCCAGTAAGCTGTCCACAGGCACTGTTTAACTCAAGCGGACCAAACTCTCAAAATTTGTTCTTAACAATCCTATCAATAACTGATCACAATTACATTACTTGAAAACTAAAATGAGGATAATTATGGGTCTCCTTGGGGCATGAAGGCAGACCTATCCTGTCATCTTGATCTAAGAGATTTTGATGGGACAGAAAACAGCTGGCAACAGCTGCATCAATGTCCCGTCTTGTGGGAGCAGGAGGCATGGCTGATTATGACCGTTCATGGGCCACCCCCTGGCCGGCATGTCCACACTGAGGACAGCCGAGCCCGTCTCCTCATTGGCTGCCCGAGGCCTCTTTGCTCAGTAATCCCAGGCTCTTCTGACACTGAAGCTTCCCATAAAAACATCGGGGAGGAGCTTCGCCTTTGTTATAGGCAGGTGGCAGGGAGGATTGAACGTGGGAGGGGAGGGGTGGGTAGGGCAGGGGAGAGTGATGGGGGAAAAATGGAGACAACTGTAATTGAACAACAATAAAAATGTAGAAAACACAGACGAGACAACTTAAAGGAGGTTTCTTGGGTTTTCCTCTTTCAGGTTTTTGTTTGCTGCTTTTTCTTCCTCCTTTTGTGTGGTCCTCGTTTTCTGAAGCCGTGGGATGCGCTCACTGTTCACTGATGATCCAACCCCGGCCCGCTGGCTTTCAACCCGGGAAGTCTTTGGATTATTAAACTAGCTGGGGGTTGGAGCACCAGGTGAATGTGCTCAGAGAAGGCTCGAGAACAAGGGGTTGCTGGAATTAATCTTTCTATAGACACAGAACGATCTAAATCACTCCTTGTCAAGTAGCCCTTGGGTGGGGACCCCCAAGGGAGGCTGCCGCTAGTGGCAGGGGGGCTGACACTAACCGGGGCTCCTCGGGGGTGGTGTTGACAAGGAACAGGATGAGCAGAGAGAGTGAGGCTTGCAACTCATCCAAATCCAGCCGCCTCTCATGCTCTGACTACCTAAGAATCACCCAGCTCGTGTGACAGAGGCTGTTTGAACGTTGGTGTCCTCCCCAAAACTCACAGGTTGAAGCCCTAACATCCATCAGTTGGAGTAAGGAAGTATTTGAGGGTAAATGAGGGCAAAAGGGTAGGACCCTGATCCCCTAGGATTGGTGTCTTATCAGAAGAAACGGCAGGGAGCTCTCTGACACCCACAGACTCGCTCTCCCAGCATCCCATGCACAATGCGCGGGGGAAAGGCTATGTGAGGACACGGCTGGCCAAACCAAAAGAACTCTCACCAGAAACTGAATTCGCCAAAGTGTTGGTCTTGGGCTTTCAGCCTCCAGAACCGGGAGAAAACATATGCCTGTTAGTTAAGGCCCCCAGTCAGTGGTTTGTGGAGCACGATGCTGGAGTTGGAAGAACTTACCACGTATAGTCATTCTTTCATCTTGGAGATCCCTAGCCCTTTGTAACTCAGTGGATAAGTGTATCTTGTGCTCTCAGCTAATGTCCAAAGTGGGCACATGTATTTAAAAAAAAAAAAAAAAAAAAAAGGAGATGTGTTTACTGTCTCTCTCATATAACCTTTTTGTACTTACTACGAAATTAGGTGACCCACATTTCTAGAATCCTAGTATGGCAGAATATTTGAAAAAATACTATCTTGGTAACTTTTTCTTTCCTCTGTAGTTTTTAGATATGCAATAAGGTCACCAATTTTAATTTCTACATTTCAGAGCTAGAATTCAAAAATGACTATTAAAAAACTAGCAAAATGGCAAAAAATTACAGAACTACACTAGAGTAAGAAGAAGGTAATATTACTAGAGATTATTCAGATTCATGAGGATTGAGGTTACTTGGGCCCTGTGGCAGCTTAATTCTGGAACAAGAACTGAATAATTTAGCATGAAGCAAATAAGGATACATTAACAAATGCTAAGGAAGAGGCGATTCCTCTTCTACTCAGAACCATGAAACCCTTGTTGGAATACTGCCTATATTTCTAGGCTCCAGGATTACAAATAATATGAAAAATATTAGTCTAAAAATAATGACCAAAATTTTAATGATTGGAGAAAAACAGCTCAAGAACTAGTGCTACCTAGTCTCAAAATGCACAAGATGAAAGACACATAATAATGGTTCTCAAGTATGTGAGGAAAAGTGAGGTCAACAACTACTCTTCTCTTGTAGTAGATGGAATAAGAGAAAATGTATTTCAATCGCAGCAAGATCAATTTATAACTTAGATCTACTTTTTAGATTTATAAAAAGCTTTTAACCTAAAGGGATCAAGGTGCTCAAATTAGACTAGAGAAGTTTCTAAGCTGAGAAATAGCAAAAGAATGGCCCTTGCTGAAATTGTAGTTGCTATTTTCACAATTTAAAAAAAAAAAAAAGTATCCTGGCAAAAGTATTCTGCAAAACTCTAGAGACAGTTACCTCGAAGGCCCTTCTAGTAGGAAAGGAAGAGGAATTGTACAGGGACCGTGGAGAAGGGGCCTGGGCCGGTACCTTGGGTTAGTTAGGCTTCATAAAACAAAGTGATCAAAAACATAAGGAACATATATATGTTTAATAACAGCTTTCTCATTCTTATAGTTTTCTGATTTGAGGAAATAGCTCATGGGCAGAGGATAATACAAACCCACCTCTGTTCTGAAGGGGAGAAGAAGAAAGAAAGATAGAAAACCGATGGCATGACTAATTCAACTTTAGGCTACCGAAATGACAGAGGGCTCCTTTAAGCAAACTTCCGTGCTTAGAATACAGAGCTGTCCTTGCAAGACCCAGCCTTTTCGTAAATGCACCTTCTGAATCTGTACTAAAGGCAGGTGGAGACTCGCGGCACTGGGTCCCTCAAGCTTGAAGCATCCTGAGTAGGGTTTGGGCCAGGAAGAGTGGTTATCTTTTCTCTGCACATCTTCCCCCCAATCACAAGTGTGTGAAATAACAAGTATAAAGGACCCACGGACGTGGACAACTGGGTGGGGACTGACTGAGGGAGTGGCGGGTCAGGGAGGGACGGGGCTGCAGCGAGCAACAGGGTTAAAACTGGGACAACTGTAACTGAACAACAATCAATCAATACAATTTAAAAACTGTGTGCGTGTGGGGCCCGCCCAGATCCCTGAACGGTGGGAGAGGCATTACTCACTGCGCACGAAATATTCTCTCAAATTCTAGTGACCCAGAGACGGCCGGGGGCATAACTTTGTATTTGAATCTTGCTTTTCCTACCTGCAAAGCAAAGTAACCTGCAAGTAAAGGGGAATTAATGTTAAAAATCTGGCACATTTTTATTCATGAATAAAATGCACATTTAAACCACAATTAGATACCATTACACACCTATTAACATGTCTAAAATAAAAAAGACAGGTCATGCCAATTTAAAAAGACAAGTGAGAATAGAAGAGCAACTGGGACTCTTATCCATGGCTGGTGGGAACATTAAATGGCACAACTACTTAAAAAACCCACTGGGAAGGGGTTTCCTGTTAGGCATACACAGACTGTATGATTCAGCCATCATACTCCTAGATGCGCCCCCTAGAGAAATGAAAGCATATGGGTGCACAGAGACTTGCACCTGCATGTTCACAGCAGCTTTGTTTATAATCACCCCAAATTAGGGACGACTCTCTGATGGTTCCTTTTGTGTCTCAACTAAGCCAGGCCACAGTGCTCAGTTGCTTGGTTGCTCATCAGTCTAGGTGTTTCTGGGAAGGTATTTTGCTAGATGTGATTAACATTTACAGCAGTAGGCTTTGAGTAAAGCAGATTACCCTCCCTGATGTGGGCGGGCCTCATCCAATCAGTAGAAGGCCTTACAAGAAAAGGACGAGGTCCTCAAACGGGAAGGAGTTCTGCCTCCACCCTGCCCTCAGACTCCAGGCTGCAACCTCATCTCCAGCCTCCCAGCCCACCCTGCAAATTACAGACCTGCCAACCCCCACAATTGCATGAACCACTTTCTTAAAATAAATACTAGTATGTGTATATAGATATACACAAAGTCTACAGCTTCTGTTTCTCTGGAGAACCCTGACTAACACAAATATCTATCAAGAAGCGAGTGGATAAACAAATTATAGCGTATGTATGCATAAATTCAATAGGATATACTCAACAGTAAAAAGCAATGAACTGTTGATACAGGAAACAACATGGGTGAATCTCAAAATAGTGATGCTGAATGAAAGAAGCAAGACCAAGTAAAAGGCTGACACTGTATAATTCCATTCATATTACATTCTCAAAAATGCAAGTGAACCTATTATGATGTAGAGCAGATCCGTGGTTGCCTGGAGGAAGCGGTGGGTGGGGGGGAGCGGGATGGGGGGTGGTCACAAGGAAACTCTGGCCCACTCCCCTCTCCTCTCCTCTCTGCCCACTCTCACCCGCATCACCAAGCTGCTCGACCTCCTGGCCGCAGCTCACACTGTCCCTGGCCCTCAGCAGCCACAGAAGCCTCCCCAGGAGGATGGCACGGGCTCTGCAGCGGGCACGCCCATGGCCGGGCCCTGTGCTCTCTGCAGCGCAGGGACGAGGGGTCCCGCGGGGCGGCAGTGCCTCTGTGTAGGCCTTTGTGTCTCTGAGGTCAGTCACCAACATCCTGCTCTGCCCCTGAGAAGGCCGTGACTCAAACCACAAAATGTGTGTCTTAAGGCGTAGTATTTTCATAAATCCACAAAACAGACTGGCCAGGCAAGACACTGCAGACGTGCTCTGGCTGGACTTTATCCTCAGGCGCGCTCCCTCCCTGCAGTCCACACCCCTGCCCCGTTTCCAGGTACAAACACCCTTGGAGAGAGAAAGAAATATGTGTATTTGGTACGAAGTCTTGCCCACGGGGGCCTGGACGCTGTTCCCCATTTTGAAAGTAAGAGACTACAGACTGAGCAGATGTGTTCCCCACAGAGAAAAAACCCTCTGTTTAGCCAGGCAATTGAGATGTTGAATAATCCAAGTGGGAAGAGGCTTTAAAATTTAGAATTTACTACTTAATCCGAAGCTCATATTTCTGCAGGAGATTTTTTTTTAACGTGATAATCATACGTGCCTTAAGCAGTTTATTTAAGAAACACATTAATTAAAAGATCAGAGTTTTAGAAAGCACAGCCAGAGTTTACAGGCAAGCACAATGCTACCTTTGGAACACTCGTAATTAATATTTATGGTCCATTCTCCCCGGGTTAGTACGCCTCTACTGCTCACATGAACTGGGCTGTGGGCTGTAACCCCAGGTGGGAGCTAATCCCTGAACTGGTCCGAATCTCTGCCTGTCCCAGGAAGGAAGGGAGGTGCCAATGACCCTGAACAGACTACGGTCTTCAGAGCACACAGGGCCACCAGCAAGTAAGGATGAAACCCAAATGCCGGACCTCCCTTCCCTCTGCCCCACACACACACGTGCACACACACTGCCCTGGACTCTTACTTTGCTGACAGGCAGAGAGGAGAGACACAGCGGCCAGCAAGATCGAATTCCCAGCCATCTTCCCAAAGAATGTTCTGCTGCACGGAACTCCTGGTGGCAGTAAGGGGAAGGTAACACAGGCGCATTCAGGCCCTTTCTTATAAGGTAAACAAAGCCAGGGAAGGGGAAAAAAAAGACAGATGATTCCAGAGGCTGAGTGACCTTTGCTCTGGAACAGGAGCAGGAATGAGGAGAACCAGCAGGTCTGGGGCTGCCAGTCACAGCTCTTCCTCTGGAGTTGCTTCCTGAACTTGACTTACCCCTCCCCCCTCCAACCTCTGGGACGCAGGATTCACCTCCAGCAACAGCACCTGCAGTAAAAGAGCTTCCTCTCCCCCAGCTCCAAGGCCTTGCTGAGACATTTCTCATCTCCTGCGGAAAAAATAAAAGATTGAAGAAGCATTTATTTCATCCCATTGAGATTTAAATGCTTATCTAATTTTAAAAGATCCTAACTCTATTCCCCAGTAAATAACAGAATTAGACTTTGAACCCACGCCCCTCAGATTCTATCCGGGCCCTCTCCCCGGTGCCCTGCTGCCTCCGGTCACCTTTGCACTCCCTCCCGTGAGCATGGTGGCCGTAACTTCTTTTGCGATATGATCGACATAAAACATTGTATTCATTTCAGGTCTATGACATGACTCAATATTTGTATATATTACAAAATGATCACCCCAATAAATTTAGTTAACATTCATTACCTCACCTAGTTTTACATTTTTTTTCTTGTGCTACAACTTTCAAATATACCATACAGTATTGTTAACTATAGTCGCCATGTTACATCCCCATGACTTATGTGTTTCATAACCGCAAGTTTGTACAATGAATTAAAAAAAGAAACAAACTAGGATGTCAGCTCTGAGAAGGGAGAGTACCCATGAGAGAAGAAGTAGAACAACATCCCAAGCCGATCTCTGGTCGGAAACACAGTGCAGATGCTGGTTCAGGGCCCTCCACGGGCAGAGCGACCCCCCGCCCCGTATCACCCAGGTAGAATGGGGGTCCCTCCACAGCGGGGCGTGTCCCCAGGGCCCACCCCTCAGAGCCACCCACCTCTGTCAATGCAATCGTTTTGCTCTTTAAAGGTCCAGCCTCCCTCAAAACAAAGCTGGGGTCCCTCCCTTGCCTCCGCGCACGTGGAGGGAGCCCCAGTGTCCGCAAGGGAGCCAGCGTGTCTCCGTCTCACACAGGCCTGCGCCCGAGTTCCCAGTCCGGACGCGGAATGTCACATCCCCTTTGGTGGGACTCCGAGCCTGGGTTTGGTAGGATGGGCTGATAAGGGCTCGGGGAAAGAGGAAATGAAATAGAGCTGTTAGAGGGTTGAATTAGTTACCATTTAGAAGGCACTTACAATGGCACAGGGCAACTAAAAACACGTGCTGTGTGTTTGTTAAATAAGCGCATGAAGAACCTAGAAAAGTACTTAGCACATTAGGTACCTTAATGTTAAAAGATATTTGCTAAAAGATAAAAACCATGCCTCTTGGGTAAATACCAAATGAAAGCACATCAAAGATTTTATTGAGCTCATTAATGAGGGAAGTAGTATGACATTTTGACCAATTCAAAGGAGAATTCAAAGAAACATATATATAGTGTTAAAAAATGATACTCAACTGAGTAAATTTTGAAAATCTTATTGGCTTTATTCAGCAATTCGTGAATTGGGCAGCACACCGTCTAGCGGATAGATAGGCGCTCTCAGGAGCTGTTCCAAACAAAAGAATTGCATAAGCAGAAAGAGCAGGAACAAGGAAGTTAGACTAGATAAAAGCAAACTTCTTATTGCAAAGTCACTTTCCTTTAGGGGATGGCAGGAGTGTATCATGCTGCTCGCCTAACTAGCGTTCATCAGGCACTTCCTGATCGGCTGGCGTCAAAACCCGTCTGGGAGAGCCAAAAGTATAATTAAGCCTGGTTTAATGGCATGGCGCTCAGCGTAAGGGACTCCGTTTGGGGCCAGCTAGCTTGTTTTCAACAAGAGGGAATGAGGAATGCCGGCATTAATTTACGAACACTTGTAAACCAGGTCTTCTCACAATGCCCCCTTGGTCTCTGCAGGTCCCTCTGCTCTTGTTTGCTCTTGAAAGCAAAGGAGACTACGACTCTGCAAGCAGACGGATCCTAGCAGTGTGGGGCCATACCAAAACTCCTTCGTGTGTTTGATTGAATGGTTTGGGCCTGCAGTGCACAGCAGAGACCCTAAACTGCAAGCCAGCTGCTCTGCACCCACATTGCTGTCAACTAAAAGAACTTCCCAAATGACAGGCCTTGAGGGGAGGCCTGGGCTGGGCCCGTGGGGAGGCAGCAGCTCTCCCAGCACAGAGCCGTCCCGAGAGCACAGCCCAAGAGCGTGGAGCCGCAGAATGGAGAGTGAGCAGGGGAACGGGACCCCTATCTGACAGTCGAAATCTTTGGGCGTTCGTAACTCCTGTTTTGAGAAACTGAAGTATATCTGTACTAGAGAACTACTTTTTCTTAAAAAAACAGACAACTCCAGAGTGACCTTTTTGTCTCCCCAACAAATCGTCTTCTTTCCACTTTCCAGACAAATCCTGAGGTTCCCTGCTGACTTCTCCCCACCAATGCCAGTCAGTCCCCAAACGCAGGTCCTAAGAGATGGGAGACACAATGAAAAAAAACAGTGTCCCAAGTGCTTTGGAGCCCCATGTGCCTGTGTGCGTTCTGAAAGTGGAGCTAGTTCCTGCCTCTAGGAAGGCATGCAACAAGGGAGCTTTAGATAATGAAATGGTTAGCACCTTATGTGGTGGTAAAACTTTCAGATGGTCCCACGGTTAAAATACTGCCATAGCATTGACAAAAACCCACAAAAAGTTGAGTTTCTCTGGATATTTCCCTGGATGGACTGAAGATAAAAACATTTTCCCTGTCGTACACATAGATCCTTCTGGTGTGTGTCCTAGTCTTTTACATTTTTGTAAGAAAAATAAGCAGCAGAATTTTGCTAATTATTATCAAGTGTTTTTAAAATATGTATATTACCTATATAAGTTCAAAACAAACTTATAAGTGTTTCTGAGAGTTTAGCTTATTAGTTTAATCACTGTTTCTTCCCAAAATTATACTCTGGATAAGGTAAAGTGGAGAAGCCATCGTTTGGCAATGCAAGAAAAACAAAAACAAAAAGAACTCCAAATTGTGTGGAAGAGCTATTGTCATGAAATGTAAACTCTAAGTGAAATTATTTCTGTATGATTTGGATTATAGATGAAAAGAAATTATATATTTAACTATAGAAATGTACTCTCTCAGACCAATTGCAGCCCCTCCCCCCGCCGCCCCAGGTACCCCTGGCCTCGCCTCTGTTCTATCCCTAACCCTCCAAAACGGACAGCCTGTTATTGGGTTTCTGCTGTCCCTGAAGCCAACAGCACCCCTCCCCCAGAGGCCCAGAAATAACCAAGGTGATCACGGAGATCGATGGCCATAATGTTTGCTCTGCACGGGCCTAGAGTGCATTGCAGTACCTCACTGGAAGAACCCTGTAACCACACAGCAAGTACTTAAACGAAGCTCAGATAAATCAAATTTAAAATTATACCCAACCTACATTTTGCAAAATGTTAGAGAAAAAATTGCAGCAATCCTGCAGAATATTTTCTCCCCACTCCAGAAACTAGGGCGCTTTGTTCTGTGGCTCGGGGTGTGGAAACCCGAGCTACAGGGGCCCAGGACAGAGGATCACGGCCAGGTTCCACCAAGCCTCAGGCAGATTGACATTGGGTGACATTCCTGCCTGTCACCTAAAGCTAGGGATGTCCCATCAAGCCTCAAAGACAAAGACAAAGGAGCAGAAAGGAGGGGAAAATAAAGGTGAGTCCCAGGGCAACGCAGTAAGAAGAGTCCGGGCTTTGAGCCGGCAACCGAGACTCCCAGCCCTGTATGGTGGGGGGCGCGTTCCCGAGCAGCCCTGGACGCTTTTCTCAGAGAGAAATAATAGTACTGACCGCCTGGAGTTCCTCTGATGAGCTAATGACTCAGTATGAGGGACGAAAATAGCCCCGAACCTGGCCCAGGTCTCTCTGCCACACCCCTCCTGACCTTGGGGCACCGGAGAGACAAGATCTATTTGTTGAGAAGGCCGTTCTACAAAGCAGACGCCTTCTAATTTCCAAGACTGTGCGGATTTCCCAGAAGAATGGAAGCAGAGCATTGGAATCACTTCAAAATGGTTTTTAACGGTAACAGAAGGTCTCAGCCCAAGTCGCAGTAAGTTTACACAAGGCTTAGGGGGGATGGAGTCAAGCAAAATCTAGGGCTGGCGAGAACAACTCTGAGCACATGCAGCCGGCCCTCCCCACGCACGCACCATCACACAGTCACACACACAGGTTCACACACATTCATACACGCACCCTTCACGCTCATAAACACACGCCCCGTGCTCAAACATACAAACACATAGATTCACACACACACCCATAAACACACACACATGCTCACACAGATTCACACACACTCATACATGCACGCATACATGCTCATAAACACACATACTCAAAACACCCATGTTCATATTCAAAACACATATCACACACTCATGTATACCTGTGCACACGCACACACTCATATACTCATATAAACACACACCCACCAGCTGCACAGGAATGTCCCAAAAGGGCACCTGTAAGCTGAACATTTAGGCCTCAGGCCTGTCCTCCTAGAAGCAATATTCCAACTGGTGCTCATATTTCCAGGTCGCCACATGCAAAACAAAATTTTAACCTGTGAGGTAACACACTGCGTACTGGCACTTGAACAGCAACTTAAGGAACCTCCGGGTTTGCCTCTTTCTTTCACTGGGTTGGCCAAAAAGTTTGATTTTTTTTCGAGTAAGATGGCTCTAGGAGCACTTAGTTGTCTTTAATTTCATTCGAAACTACTTTGTTAGACTGTATTGTGACAGCTGCCTTATTCGTGTGCCTTTTTAAAACTTATCAAAACTGAATTTTTGTGTAGCCTTTTTAATATTGAAGATGGAAGAAAATATGCAACATTTTTGGCATATTAAGCTTTATTATTTCAAAAAAGGTAAAAACACAACTAAATGCGGAAAAAAAGACTTGTAC